ACATGGAGGAGAGTCCCATGCTCCTTCAAGCACCTCCAACACAGCAGGGAGGAAGTCGGGAATATTTTATGCAAAAATGTATGGACCCTATACAATCTGGTCAACAATTTGTAATCAGCCTATTGAAATCTGATCTCAATAATGGTTTATGGGCGAAGGCCGAGGCACACTTTCCATTTGCTCAAGAAGGGAAGAACAAAGCCTTTGCCCAGGCTTGAAAGTAGCTCATATGCCTTAGACAGTGCATGTTGAAGAGGCGACACATCTAAAACAGTAGGTCTCTAATGGCTGGCACTGTCCCAAATGAGCGTCCTGTAACTTAAGTGAGGACAAATATTTATTCTGAAGGGCCAGCCAAAACAGTAAGGGGGAGGATTGTCTACCATCGATTGCATATCACAGATAGTTTTCCACTTACCTTTAGCTACAAAATTCTACTAGAGAAATTGATTAGTAGTTAGAAATTGCCAAAAACGGTGGTCCAAGATACAAGGGGGAACTCCATAGAGCCATAGAGACCAGTGTCATTCCAGAGGGACCCAAGGCCATATATGAGATACTCCCCGTTTTTGAAAGCACTTGCAAAGTAGTACTGATCAGTAGATGTGCTTTAACTTCAGGGGTAAGAAAGGAGTACTGCCAAGGCAAGGTTTGTAGGGGCAAGCCCACTGTATCCTATTAGGCCCTACACAAAATTTGAAGGATCTGGGTTTGATCCAGTCAAGAACTCTGCACAAGTGTACAGCTTAATGATACTTTAGAGGGTTCTGGAACCCTATACCACTACAGGTCTTCAGAAGTGCCAGTAAGCAAAAACAAGATCCACTTGGTCCCATAAGACCAGAGAAGGTTAAAAGGATAAGTTCACCTTTGGGAACATGCTACATGTTCCACCTGTTTTTAGGGCGGAAAATGTAACATTCCCATAGCTACAGCCGTACTCAACACCTTCCACCCTGTGACAGATAGTCTGGGGAAATTTCTACCTGTACTATCTGTCAAATTTGAAAACAACATGGCTGTGCAGGGCCACAACCTAGCGGCTGTGGGTGTGTAGTGTTCAATGAACTACCACGGCACTGTGAAGCACCGTGGTAGTTCATTGAAGCTTCCTCTCAGAATATATGTTTGCTCGAGCATCCCGTACGGCAAGCAGATCTGCTGGAGACCTGCATGGTATCAGCAATCTCCTGATCACTGGTGCAATGCTTTCCAGGCTCCTTTGGACAAAAATAATAAATGAACTTTTTTTTACCTGCAAAAAAATGTGCATTTATTATTTTTTTCCAAAAGGTGACCTTATCCTTTAAGGAACCCTGCCCTGACCGAGTAAAGGAAGGCCCCGAGGATGTAAACCAGGAGGATGTTCTTCCCTGCAATTTCCTGGGACAAAACTGCTCCCAGGCCAACACCAGAGGCATCTGTTTTCACAAGAAGTTCTCAACATTGGTCCCTTTTACAATACTGGATTCAGCTCCTGAAAAGCTCTCTCTCTGCCTCTTCATTCTATTTCACCATGGTGGACTTCTATCATAGCTGATATCATACAAAAGTTAGATGGTAGCAGGGTGGTGAAAAAAAAAAAGAAAAAAAAAGGGGATTATTTTTTAAACTTAAATCAATTTTTTTTTATTTTTATCAAATGTATTTTAATAAAATGCTTTTGGAGTAAAAAATCTATCGATAGCTTTCTATGTAAGATACATTAATAATTTAGTTTATTCAGCATGATATGGAGCTTAGTTATGTAGCATGAGACTGTATATTCTGCAATATTTACATTTTTGGTAAACTCATTCAATGAATCCAAGCTCTGCAAGCTGAGATAACATGCATTGCATTGATGCATTCACACAATTTCACAGTAACCATGAGAAAAAACATGAAATAAAAGAATTTGGAGTAGTTGTCCAACTATGTGTGATTAACATAAAATCGGTTGTGATATCGCTGTTTTTACTAACCTGACAGCTTATCCTAAAAAGGAAACCTTCATTTGGTTTGCAAATATTAAAGATTCTAACTACCAGCAAGAATGAGTCGGATTCCTTACATTTAAAGAGCACCTGTCATTTTGGATCCATCACGGCAGCGCCTGTTAGCGGGTATCCACTCACCTGCTGCAGCAACGTCCCTCGCCTTGTTGTGTCACTGCCGCATTACTAGCTGTCCCATTAAAGTGAATGGGACTGTCAGTGAGTCAAAAGTGGGTCAGAGGAGGAGCCGCTGCGGGACAGAGATGACAGTTGCTCTTTAAAAATTATTTAGATCGAGCCTTTTCACTAGCAATTTAAATCGTGATTTAAATCAACTTGATTTAAATCAAATCCACCCTGGTTGGTAATCTACAATGCCTAGAAAGGGTCTAACTCAGATGTTGGCAACCTATTGATCACAGGTAGGTGGTGGGTAGATCGCAACACACACTGTGTCAACACTCCATCTGAAATGCTGCTCCTCCAAATGCAGAGCAGCACAGGGAAGCGGCATACTTGACGCTTCTGCCACTGGAAATCCTAAACAAGAATAAACACAACAACATCTAGATATACCGAAGCATATGCTTTGTGGAGCTTAGGGATGTGGTCCATCGTTCTTTTGAATGAGGCCAGGGCCTCAAGTAAGTCAAGGAGGACCACATACCGATAAAACCCAACGGTGTCACAAAAGCTTTCCCTTTGCCCGAAATAGAACATGTATCACCAGCACATCATCCACCCCTATGAAAGATCCATTTATTTGTCACATAAATACATCAGAAACATTTCAGCTCTCCACATTAGCTTCTTCATCAGGCAACAGTGAAAGAACCAATATAGAGCTCTGAAACATTGCCGTTGTATTTTGTGACAAATACATGGATTTTTTTCATTCACTGAACTCCAGTTCCTTCAGTCGTGAAATCTCAGCATCATATGTGCGTGGTACCTAGGGCAATCTGCATGAAAATTCAGTCTGCATAGTAACATAACCAGGGGCGGACTGACAACTCATGGGGCCCCCGGGCAATAGGGGATCATGGGGCCCCTGTGTCCTTGCCCAAACTCAAAAAAGCCTATGAAAAAGGTACCAGGGGCATCTCATGGGGCCCCCTACTGACCCCGGGCCCTCGGGCAGTGCCCGAGTTTCCAAATGGTCAGTCCGCCCCTGAACACAACTATTCATCCACAATGATATCAACCTATCACAGCTGATATTAGCATTACTCATCAACCCACTGTTTTCATCAGGGCCAAGGGCTTTTGAGAGTAGAACTAAGGCAGGGTGCTGTGATATTTTCAGGAAGCTATATAAAAAGCACCCTGCCAGTCCCTCCCACCAGCCATGATCTGCCTCCTTTACACAGAGAGCCACAGAGATCCAGTGATGACATCAGTGGATCTAAAATAAAGGTATGCAATGAAAACAGAAAGATTTTGCTTAAACGTTTTATTAGAATGTTATTACAGGGGAGAAGGAGGAACCAAGGTAGGTAAAATAAAAATAGACTAAACCCAGCCAATCGTGTGCAGGATAATTTGAAAAAAAACAAAGTTTCTTCCTATGATTGAAGTTCAAAATAAACACAGATTCACTTCACCTTATTTTCTAAAGCTACATTTTCGCTAGTGGCAGACTTTGCCACCCCTTTGAAAAGCAATCCACAGTGGACTGCTTTTCAGAGGTTTGACAGGCAATGAGGAGGTGATTTTGCCTCTCCACTGCCTGTTTCAACCCTGTAAAGGCCACCAACCACTGTGCCAATGAATGTGGCCCATTCAAGTAAATGATGCCATGCGGCAAGAGCCCTGCAAAGGCGTACAATGCAATGCAATGGAATGCATTCAGCAGTGGTACTGCCCAACCAACGCGGCCGAGGATATCATTTTAGCATTGTTCATGGCATGTGTACATCCCTGTCTAGTTGCCTTTGCAGCTTATATAGGTACTTCCGTTTTTTAAGTCAGTAGCTACAAATACTGACTTTCAAAAATCAGGTACTAATCAATGCCTGGAGTCCAGTGCTGTCTTCCTGCAGCTGATTCTCCTTACCAATGTGGGTCCATGGTTCACCATCTTGGATAAGGGAGCTGGCTATGGCTTTCTGAGGAACCACTGTGCATGTAGGAGCTTGTGTAGCGCTCCGTGAATGGTACTGGGAGGATTCTGGGTAAGTGGCATCATCCTTCCCTATTTGAGGATCGCAGAAGTGGGGAGTGGATACCGATAAAATTCAGTAATCCTCCCCCCCCCCCCCCCCCCCAAAATAACCCTATTTTTTTATTTGAGTTATTATTTGAGTGAAGTCCCACTTTAAGGGGGGGGTGGTAAAAACACAGTTCAGCCACCTACTTTTTTCACCTCACCAAATGCAAGTGTAATAAGCCCTAAATCAGAGCCAGGTATACCATCATATTTCCCACGTCCTGTTAATCCTAGTATATGGATACATTCTACAAAATAACTGCTTCTTTATGCCAAATTTATTCTTCAGAGTCCTTTATTTATACATTATACATACAGTTAACATTTCTGTAATTCAAATTTTTCTACGATAATGTTGCACATTATTTAACAATGACAATGGCGTGATCTAATGCTAATCTGAAAATCAGAAATAATCTGTCAAGTAAGATAAGCAGTTTCTTTTGTTTATTACTTTTCGGTATGCCAGTGTGGCACCGACTGAAATAATGTATTTAGAACAAAAAAGAAGAGAGAAACAATGCATTAGGAACAGAGTTTAACTAGTTCCTAATCAAGGAACCTTCCAGTAAAGCATATTATAAACCCAAAGTGGCAAAAAAAACTTCAAAAATAATGGATACAGCTCCCCCTACTGGAATTTCTAGATATACAAATGATATAGAAGCTACTGTTATATACAATAAATGAAAGCAAATGCATTATACTTACTGCCTTCAAACTGCCATTTGATGGTTCAAATAACAGAACAGTTGCCTGGTGAGATGGAACATCAGATGCGGTTTTATGCTCATAAAATGTTACTACCTTGGTCGTTAGGCATCGTCCTCTGTGCTGTAGGCAGGCATGACTCCTAAAAACCTGACACAATAAGAACATGCGTTAGAACAGTCACACATTTGCTGAATGACATTTTTTTTGCTCGGGAACTAAATTTGATTTGGTTGGAGGACACAAAAGTAGAGAAAATCTTCATTCTGGCAGTTCACATATGTAAAAGGATTTTTGCACTCTTTAGACATCACTTTTTCTTTCTAAAAACATAAATTAATAAATACAGGCGGTAATTTTACACATAACGTGATTGAGTCCTTGGTTGCATTCAGCAGCTGCACCCATAGGGGTCGTTCACATGTAAAGTTGGGGGGGGGGGGGGGGGGGGGTAAAACCATGCGGTTTTAACATCCTCAGTCCCTACTCCCTTTGGCTGCTGAGGCATCAACCAAAAGGTATACACATTCTGCAGCAGGAATTAAACCCCCTGTTGCTTTCGGTGGGTGCGACCGCCTTCCAATCGCGACCCATTGAGGCCACGCAACTGCAAACTTCTCTGGCATCGAAGGGGTTAAAGCTGGTGGTAAGAAAGCAACAAAACGCTGCCTGCTTTAACCGTTTGCTGTACTGCACAAGGTTGCAGGGCACTTGCAGAACGGCCTCATTCACTTGAACGGATCATGCTTGGAAGGTGCTACACCCACCAACCATGACAGGGCATAGAACTCCTACTGCAGCTGTGACATGTGTACACCCCTGGCCACTGCAGCTAGAGTAGGTGCGGTTGAGGTGGCATAAAAAAAAACACATCTTAACTATGGGGTTTTACCACCCTCAAAACTGCAAATTTAAATTAACCCTTAACTGCTGCATTTCAGGAGTTTTGGGTGAGCTTTCAGAAAGTGCACCAAACCCACAGGATATAATAGAAGTCTATGGCTAAGAGCAGCAAACCAGCAGGAAAGCTGTAGGCATGTTGCACTGCACCCGTGTGGGTAAACCTCTGTGCATCAGTGTGAAAGCAGCCTTATATTATCATGCGCCGGTGTATTACTTCACACTGACCTGAAGATCTTTTCTTTCTTGTTGCTGGCACCACTCTTGAGACCCCGCCAGGGGGATAAGAGGTGGAGTGCAGTTGGCATCACTCTGCATGGGACAGGGGCCAGTACTTACCGAGGAGGCATCGGCTTATGCAGCTCTTGCTCCAACTTTACGAGTAGTCCTTCTGCAAGGCTGCCAAGGGTTTTAAATTTAAAAGTGCACCAAAAAGGAATTTAAATTTATGGTATAAAAAAAAAAAAGGGGGGGGAAAAAAAATTCCCCCTGTGGGAAAAAAAATTTCCATGAAAAAGCCCTTTATATAACCCCGGGTGTAACTTCCCACAATTTAATTTTTTTTTTTTCCCCCCGGGCCCCCCTTTAAAACCCCCGGGGGGGGAAAAAGGGGGGTGAGGGCCCCCATCGGGGCCCCCGGGCCATATAGGGGAGGTTTTTGGGCCTTCCCTTTTTTAAGGGTAGCCCTTTCCCCCGGGGGGGTCAAAAAAAAAAGGGGGCCCTTTTTTGTTTTAAACCAAAGGGGGGAAACAAAAAACAGGGGTAAAAAGGTACATATGGAAACAAATTTTTATTTTAAACACAAGGAATAAAAACCCCCCGGCCCGGGGGTTAAGGGGGGAAATTTATTTTGGGCCCCCTTGGCTTGGGGGAAATTTGCCCCATTTTTGGGTTTTGGGGGACTTCCCCAATTTTTGGGCGTGGGGGCGATTTTCCCCCAAAATTGGGGTTCGGGGATTAAAAAGGCCCCGGGGGGCCCCGTTTAAAAACCCCCATCCCCCCCCGGGGACATTTGGAGGCCCCTTCGGCAAAAGTTCAAACCCAACCCAGCTACCGGTGCCCCCCAGGAAAGATGCATTATTTGTGACCCCGTTTGGAAAGTTCTTTCCCGCCCCAAACCCCCCCCACAAAAAAGACAACATGACGTAAACGTTTGAATTAAAAAAGGGGGTTTTTTAAAAAGGGGAAAAGAAAAACTTTATTAAAATACCAATCAGCTTTTTCTTTTTAATTAATTAAAAAAATCCAACTAAAATTTTTTTAAAAACCCCAAAATTTTTAAACCCTTTTAAAAATAAACCAAAAAAAAGGGTACAATTTTCCCCCCCCAAAATGGGCCCCCACCTGGTTAAAAGAATCTGGGCGGGTGGGGGGGGGGTTTTAAAATAATGTTTTAAAAAAATAAAAATTTCATTTTTGCCCTTATTTTTAATTTTTTTTTCTAGGGTGATAGGTTTTTAAAGACCTTTAAAAAAAATTAAAAAAAAATTATTTTAAAAACAGGGCCCTTTTTAAAACCCTTACCTTCCCTTTTTTTAAAAAAAATAAAAATCCCCTTTTTCCTTTCCCCTGTTTAAATTTTTTTTCACCCTTTTTTCCTTTGTTTTTTTTTTCCTGGGCAAGATGCCCCAAACCCGGGGTTTTTAAAAAGGGGGTTAAGGGGTTTCAGAAAACCCCGACTAAGGGGGGCCCCGGGAAAAAAAATTAAATTAATACTTGCCTTATAAGGGGGGGTTTTTCCCCGGGGGGTTTTTTTGTTTTTTTCCCAAAAAAACCTTAAAAAGATTGGAGGTAGATAAATTTTAAATTTTAAAAATTATTAAAATTTTTTTTTTTGGGGGAAACTCTTATTAAATAAATTTTTCGCCCTGCAATTTCTTTCAGAATCCCTTACGAAGAAAAATTCCCAAAAGGGGACCCAAACATTTCAAGGGTTTAATTTACAAAGCCCCCAAAACCAAAATCACCCTTTTCCCTTTTGAAAAAGCCCTTCAATTATTCCAAATTTTAATTTTAATCCCGGGAAAAATTTGTTAAAAAAGGGGATTTTTTTTTTTCTGTTTGAAAAAACCCCCCCCCAAAGGGTTTCCCCAAATTTAAATTTTGGCTAATTCCCCCCTTTTTTTTGGGTTTGGAAATGGCCCGAAAACCTTTTTCCCAAAGCCCCGGGTAGGGAAAAGCCCCTCAAGGGGGAAGGGGGGCAACAGGTAATTTTTCGTTGAATTTTAAAAAGGTCATATATTTCCCCTAATTTTTTAAAAAAAAAAAAAAGGTTTCTAATGCCCTAGCAATTTTTTAGGGGTTATTATTTTTTCTTTTTTTGGGGCCCATTTTTTTTTCCCGGGGGGCCCCATTGGGGGGGGGAAAAAGGGGACAAAAACTTGAAACGGGAAAGGGTATTTTTGACAGAAAGTGGCCTAAAAATGCCCCTTCATTTTTTTATCCGGGGGGGGCCCTTTTTTTAAAAAAATTTATGGGGCAATTTTCCCCCAAAGATAGAGGGCCTGTTTTCCCCCAATGAAAACAATGGGAATTTCCCTGCCACCAACGTAGAATTTTTAAGCCCCAAAAAGGGGAATAAAAAATTGGGGAATTCCTAAAAGGTTCTAAACTTTTTTGGGGTTTTTTTAGAAAAATTTTGGGACAAAAAAAAGGAAAAAACCCCCTCTTGGTTTTGAAATGAAAAAAACCCCATAACCCCCCCCCGGGGCCGGGTTTTGTTTTTTAAAAAAGGGGGGGGAACGAAAGGGAAAAGTCCCCCCTATTTACCCTTAAAAAAAACGATTTTTACTTTATAACCTTTGAAAAAAGGATTTTTTTTTCTTTTAAAGCATTAAAGCTTTTTTTTTAAAATGTTTAAAATTTAGAAAATTTTCCCCTTATAACCCCCTTCCCAAAAATTTCCCTATTTTTTATAAAAAATTTTTCACTAGGGTAACGCATACCGGCCCCCCCCTTCAAATTTAAACCCCCTTTTGAGGTTTTTGAAACGTGGAAGGTAATTTAGCATTATTTGGATAAAAAACCAAATTGGGGACACCCCTTTTTTAAAAAATTTTTTTTGCATTTCAAATTTTTGGGGGGTTTAAAGAAAAATTTTTTTTGTGTGGGGGGTTTTTTTTAAAACAAAAGAATTTTTTAGCAACCCCCTTAAAAAAAAATACGATTTACGTCTTGGAAATGTTTCCCCCTTCTTTCCCGCTTAAACGTGGTTGGGATCCCTAATGGGGAAAAAAAAAAAATTTTTAATTTAATTTTCCCCCCCCCCCCCCCCCCCCCGGGGGGGTTGCCCGTTTAAAAAAAAAGGGGGAAAAAAGAAAATGGTTAGGGGGCCCTTCCTGGGTTAAACAAAAAGGGGGTTACAAAAAAAAATTGTGGGGGAGGAGGGGGAAAAAGATTTTTTAAAGGCAAAAGGCCCCGGGAAGGGGTTTTAAATTCCAAAAGGGGCGGGGCATTAAATTTTTTGGGGGGGGAAAAGGGGGAGGGTTGGGAAGGGGAAAAATTTGGGGGGCAAACAAGGGGAAAACTGGTGGGAGAGCTTTTGGGGTTTTTTTTGGGAAAAAAAAATTTTTTTTGGGGAATTATAAATTGGTTTTTTATTTATTTTTTTTTAAATTTTTGTTGGGAAAGGAAAGCCGGGGGAGGTTCGAAAGGAAATATGGCTTTTTAGAAAAAAATCTGGAGAGAATTTTTTTTAAAAAGGGGTTTCCTTTATCCCAAAAGGAATTTGCCGTAAGGGGAAAAAAATTTGGGATTTTTCCCCCAATAAAAAAAAAAAAATAGGATTTTTGCCTTTTTTGGGGTTTAAAATTGGTCCCGTTTTTTTTTGGAATTTTTTTTCATCTATTGGTTTTCCCTTTTTCTCACCCAATTTCCGGCAATGGGGAAAAAAATGCCCGGGTTTCTTGGGTTTACCTGTGGGGGAAAAAATGGAAAATTTTTGGGGTTTTCGGGTAAAATTAACCCCGGGGGGTAACCAAAAAATTTTGGACAAAAAACCCCCAAAATTTGGAAAGGGAGGGGGGGGGCCATTTTTTTTGGGTTTTTATTGGCCCTTTTTAAAAAAAAACCCCCCAAGGGGAAAGGGGATATTCTAAAAAAAAAAGGTTGCATTGAATAAAACGGGGCAGCGAAAAAAAAAATTTTTCCCAACGGGGTTTTAAAAAAAATTAAAAATTTAAAAATTGATATAAAAAAAATTTAAAAAATTTTTAAAAAAATCATAAATTTTTTGGGGTTCCCATTGTGAG